GTAGATATGGTTTTTAAGGTAAGAATGCCAAGGGGCTGGAGATCAGTGTTCCCCCCCAAAAATGACTAAGATGTAACACCTGAGCTTAAAAAAAAAAGGCTAACCATTTCTTAAAACTGCATTTCATAACCATTTTGGGTACTGCACTGCTAAACAGGATTGGTTTAAAAATATCAGCATGACAAAATGGTTAACATTTATTTACTGTTATTGATTTAGTGTCATTATGGTATTTGCTTGACACACTAAAAAAGAGAAGTAATAAATTATTCCTAGGTTTTACCAGAGGCTTACTCCAATAGGCTGAGATCAAGGGTGCTTTGATTATGTGGCCATATTTTAAACTTTGAGAAGGTTTTCACTTAAAAATATAAACAACTACAACAAAGAAAACATGACAAAGTGACAACTGGACAATAGCTTAATAATATAATAAAATGTAAGGGACAGCCAGATAGTTCAGCAGATTAAAGTGCCTGCTTAGGCAGGCATAGAGATCCAGGGTTCCATCCCTGGCTTGCAGCGCCGACCCCACCCCAGGCATACGCTGAGACAGAGATTGAGACTTGGCGTGGAGGCCCGTGTCTGTAATGCCAGTGCTTGGGAGGCTGAAAACAGAAGAATCACTACAAGTCTGATATGTGTAGTGAGACCCTGTACTAAATACATAAAATAAATGAATGATTTCACCTTTAGTAAGTATTTCTATCTTTAGTGTGGAAGATGGAGTGTGATTGAAATTTGAAAATATTAATTTCTAAACAAACGTTTGCTAAGTTACCAAAATTGTGTAACTTTTTATAAGAATATAGAGAGGCTGGGGAGATAGATCAGTGCCATAAGCATCTGTCTGGCAAGCACAAGGTCCTGACTTCAATCCCTGGCACACAAATACATACATACATACATACATACATACATACATGAGCATGGACTCTGCAATGTTCAGCTGTGAAAACTGGCAAATGACATGAAGAACAAGGAAGTGAAAAGTACATGAAAAATGCAGATGAGATAATGCCTAAAATTTATTAGCTCAGAAGAAGAAAGGTAGCAGAAAGAAGAAAGGTGCTTGCATCCCCAGGACAGGAAGTGATGTCAGGGACTCCAAACATAAAGTCCCTATGGAACCACCCTGAGCTCACAAGTAGAAGTTTCTAGAAGACTCTGTGAGGTGGCGGCTCCTGGGTGACCTCTGTCCTCACGATTTCTCTTCCACAGAGAAGGAAGGGAGTTGCTAAGGAAACACAGCCAGGCATGGAGGGGTGCACTCTGGGAGGCTGGGCAACTAACACTGAACACCCAGTCTACATGGCAGGCACCAACCAATCGAAAGAAGATGGCCAGAGGTGTGGGTCCAGGAGGACACTGCCTAGAGAACATAACGACCTAGTCACAGAAAGCAGAAATACTTCCAAATGACTGCTGCTAGTAAAGTGGCCAAGGGAGTAGGACCCAGGCAGGAGACAGTCACTTTCCACAATCTTTCTTCCTTTTTTTAAAAATGTATTTGGTACAGGGTCTATAGGGCCTCACTATGTAGATTGGACTCATAGTGATTCTCCTGTTTTCAGCCTCCCAAGCACTGGGATTACAGGTGTGCGCCACCATGCCTAGTCTCAGTGGCTGTCTCAGCATACATCAGGGACAGGCCAGCATAGCAGGCCGGGGATTGAACCCCTGGTCACTGCGCTCTGCCTACACAGCCACTTTAGTCCGACTTTCCATAATCTTTCCACAGCAGATTTTTTTTTCCCAAAAGGTTCACCACAATACAAATACATAACCATGAATTTTTTAAACCACATAACTTTACTAATGTCACAGAGGTGTTTTTCTGACAATGATTCTCTGGCATTATTTTTAAATGCTTGAAACCATCACTACTTAAAATTATTTTAAACAGACTACAAATGTCCAGACCCACTGCTTAGCAGACCACTGGCTCAGAGTCAGCAGAGCCGCTGTCCCACAGATAGAGGCAGAGGGCGGACTGCAGCCATCCCTGTGGGCATTCCGGCTGACCACTGTGATCCTGTGACCCTGCTACAGAAACACGGGTACCTCAGAGGATCTCGCTCCTCTCTTCTTTGGTGCAACAACATCTGATGGCCCAAAAAGAAAGTCTGTCAGAACTTACAGCACACTGTTTTCCAGAGATTTCAGAACAACTCTCTTATCATGGCCAGGTCAGGAGTGCTCTTACCTCCCTGCCCTTCCCGCCCTCCCGCCCTCTGCTTGGCTGTTGTTCCTCCCCTCACTGAGCACCGCACCATGATAGACCAGAAGTCTCGGCTCCTAGGAAACCTGAATGTTATTGAAATCTGGTTTAAAACTCAAATTAATTTCCTTAAATACAAGGACAGATCTCAGACAACTTTGAACAACAAGTGTCTAACACAGAACCTGGTACATCCCCGTTCTCAACAAATACCTGCATTGGCTTTATTTGATAAGTAAACTAAAAATTGAAAAGGCATACAAAGTCAATAAAATACTTTATATCTCCATCACTGTGGGCTGCAATTTGGTCCACACACACACTGTCTGCCACATGTACCTTCGTACCCATCACTGCATCTAGTATTCAGTTCCTTTGGAGGGAGAAAAGAGGTGGGGAGCTTCCTGCCTCAGGCACAAAATACTAACATGCTCTCAAATGAAACAAAAGGCTAAGATACAATTGGTTTGCTTTCACCAAAAAATGATATTGGAGGCAAATATTTATTAGCATGGATACTTCCATCTTTGTGGAAAAGATGAGTTACCAAATTACTTGTTTTGTATGCTACTCTCTTAGTAGTACAGATAAATATACATATGCAGTAAACAGGATCATAAAATGAAGTTATTAGTTTTACTTCTTTTAAAACAATGTACACATGGTTAATTTTTTGAAGGTCAATCTACATTTTATCATGTTACAGACTCAATTTTCCAGAAATCTACCTCAAATAAATATACTGAAACAAAGACATTCAAAAGACCTGTGTGATTAAAAACAGAATAAAGGTAAAGGAAACAAAGAGGTTAAAACGAGTGGAGGTTTTGGGGCAGTTCTAAATTTTCTCTAAAACTATGTTTTGCTTCCCATTTTTAAAAAGCCGCCAGATAGTTAAGCATCTTTTGCATTTTTCAAAATACTGTCAGAAATTTTTTCTCCTGATTTTACTAAGTTTCAGAACAGATTCTCTACATTGACAGACCCCAACTTGACCTCCCTGTGACTCCTACTTCCAAGCTAGAATTATGTGCAGCGGCTGCACGTAACCTCCTCCTTCCTCTTTTGTTGTCATCATTCCTTTGAGTTTGTTTTCATCTTCAGGGCAAGCTATGAGCATCCTTTTATGCACATAAATATTGACATCTCAACTTTAGTAAGCAAGGGTTTCCCTGCTAGTCCTTCTGGGAGCACAAAGGACATCTTTAGCCCATCTCTGAAAGCAAAAGCTTTGCCTCTACAAAATGGAAACAGAATTTTTACAATAATGCCACAATGTACCCCAAAGTGGAATAGTTTGGTAGAACGTAAAGGAAATATTTTACTAGAGACTAAATTAAATTTTAAATAAATGCTAAATTATTTGAAAGGCAGTTTAAGTAGCTTATGTGCTAAGGCTAAGTGTTATAACTCCAACATAAACACCACCACAAATACCTTGATCCTGAAGCTCAGAGAATTAATCTTTGGCCTTACTTATTACACTTCTGTGACATGAGCCAGTGTTTTCCAACATAATCTTCTTTTCAATATGCTTGCAAGATAGAGTAACAACCACAACACAAAGAATTTCCTTTATTTTAAGATTCATATGTGATTATACAGCAGAATTTAACTAATAAGGTCCTTTATATTTAAAATCTACCAACATTTTAAGATTGTAAATATTTCATTGTAATGAAAAACTATTTTTGTGAAAATTTTCAAACCTTTGTTTTCAACCAATTTATATTTAAGCAATTTTGGCCCTAGCCATTCAAGGTCAGTGAGGACTCAGGACATAGGAGAACCTGTACTATAACATCCTGTAACTCAGTGGTGTCCCAAATTTTCTTATCAAGGAGATTATGGGGCCACAGAGGAAAGTGGTCAAAATGTAGAGTGTGTCTAAGGACAGTCACATGGAAAGAAAACATTCTCTCAGGCTTTCACAGACAGCACATCGGTCAAGCAATGGCTGTGACTCATCTACATGGCTGACACTGACAAAAGATCTACAAACTGTGGTACAGGGTTTCAGACTAAATCCTGAGGGGATCTGACTGACCTTGTCAGATACAAAAGTTACATCTCTTGTTATATAGGTCTTGCTTTATCTTGGTTTAACCATCCAGCAGAAAAGTATAAAAATGAGGTATAAAAAGTAAAGCCATATTAATATGCTGAGCTGTAAAAGGCCCAAGTCAACAACTTCTGACATTGCCAGTGCTATGGATAACCCACTACTATTATGGACTACTGGACTATGTCAGATTATTTTTCTGAATTCACGCACCTGCAATATTTAAATGGCATCTCTGACAAAACTAAACAAAAAATGGGGATATAAATGAAGGACCATTCTGTATCAGCATATACAAAATAGATAGATATACAGCTACTTTCTCTTAATTCAATGAGAAGAAAGCTTTGTACTAATAGTGTTTGGACAGGATATCATGTCTGCATTTTGTACTATGAATAACCACTATGAAGATAACAGTATGCAATGTATTAATTATTGTAACTGTCCTACTAACTTGTTTTGAAACTGTCTCATTGCTATTTGTTTCTCAGTAAATTTAATAAAAATAAATAAATAAATTTTATGTATTTAAGCAGGTTTGTCAGCCCTCAGATATCACATGCACATGTGCATGCAGCACATATATGTACAAATACACATAAACTTTCATTTAGTTTCATAATTGAAGATTCTTGTTATCATTACAAAATAATGCATAATTTAGACTTAAATTTAGAGAACATATGACAAAAAATCTGTAACATCTGAACTTACTATTTAACATTTGCATAGAACTTCCAAGGTAAAGTTCTTTTTTCTCTTGCTCTGTCTGAAACATGTTTCAACTAGCTGATTTGTACTGCCAGACATGGAGGGAAGCTGTAAGACATAACAAGGCAGACCATGCTTAAAAAACTATCTAGCAATTTCCTAGAAAAGCTTTCTATCACCCACTATATTGTTTCTGGAACCTGTCAGAAAGGAGACACACACACGTGTGTGCCTGTGAGCACATTCTGTTTTGTTTTATCTTACCAGCATTTGGCCTTGTAGACTTCCAAGTTGTGTCTACAAAAAAGTAGACTGACCTGATTGTCTTTAAGGCTCATTTTACTTTTTCAAAAAAATTAGGAAATAAAAGTGAATGTTCTAGTCCCACACAATTTTTCCTAAAAGACAGCAAAAAAAATATTATTCATCCAGGTATCTTGATTAGAATGTCTTAGAGTACCTCAAAAAAGTCTGTTAAAAGGACTGGGGATGTCTCAATGGTAGAGCACATGCCGCTGCATAAGCCCATATCTAACTTAACAAACTCAACAAAAATAATTCCTCCCTACACCCCTCCCAAAAAAAATCAAAAACTAGGCAACAGAAATAAATAGACCCTTCTCAAAAGAAGAACAAACGGCCAATGGGTACCTGAAAAAAATGCTCAGCATCTTTGGCCATTAAAGACTTGCACTGAGATCGCATCTTATTCCAGAAAGAATGTCTACTGTCAAGAACTCAAAATCTGGTGAGACTGTGGGAAATAGCCCTTCTCTACTGTTCATAGGAATGGAATCCAATACAGCCAGTATAAAAATCAGTATGAGAGTTTCTCAAAAAACTAAACTAGAAATTTCATTTGACCCAACTATACCTCTGCTGGGTATCTTCCTGAAAGACTTAAACATGAATGTGTAAAGAAAATGTGGTTGATATACCCAGCAGAGCACCACTCAACCATACAGGAGGATGCACTTCAGTTTTCTGCAGTATGGACCTTGAGTCCATAATCTAAGCAAAATATACCAGATAAAGTTAAACACACATGATTTCTCCTAAATGAGAAATCTAAAGAAAAATAATTTAAAGAGAAAAATGAAAGATGATTGGAAACAAGGACCGAATTTGTGGAGAGGGGAGGAAGGGGGATGAAAGGAGAAGTAAAAGGAGCAAGATCAAGGAGAAGTAAAAAGATTAAGTATACCCACATGTACCAGTTCCTCACGTTGAATGTATTGATGATGCATACTAACATACTAATTAAATATTTTTAATCCGGAATTAGAGTGTAAAACTAGAGTTTTACACTAGAGTATAAAACTAAGGCTGTTTAAAACTAAACATCTAAAATGTTTACAGATGAATCAAAAATATTGAAAATTCTAAAATACCTGAAACTCAAACAACTGAACTCACCTTTTGATCAGACTTCTCTTACTACATGACAGGGTCAGCTATGTAGTCCAGGCTGGCCTTGAACTCACAGTGATCCTCCTTCCTCAGCCTCTCAAGTTCTGAGACTGCAGGCATGCACCACCACAGACCCGTCTTTATACAGTCTTACTGTTACAGTTTAAGTCATCAGCCACAAATGTGATAAAAGTCTCAATGAGGCCTCAGTGTGTCTATGAAACTCAAAAGAACCACTAATCTCTTTAAAGTTTTTTATAAAGAGGTCTTCTAGGTCCTCTTTTACACCACAGACCCATTAAAATGTATAAGGTTTACTAAGCCAGGAACGAAAGAATGTAGGAAAGTCACAGACCAATTTTAACTTTCATAGGAAAGTATAACAGAATTTTCAAATTCAAGTTAAAAATTACTGACTTTTCCCAAATCTCTGGTACAAAGGTCAGAAGACAAGCTCCACTTTTCCCCACAAAGTCATTAATTAATGGCAATCACCTAAGGAGGTCAGGAAGCTCTAAAATATCAACAAATTGTGTGAAGACAGAAATTTAAAATTCAAACTCAGATATGAAGTTAAAAACCAAAATAGCCCATTTCTATTCACAGTATCGCTGCATAATTAAAATAAAGATCTCATTGGAATACCTAAATGGTGAGATATACAAGCAATTTTTCCTTCATGAGATACTAACAAGGCTTTCTAAATCTAGATGGCATTTTGATCTGTCGTCTTATTAAAGTTCCTAAAGTAGGAACTTGCAAGGCTTCTTGGCAACGGCTCATGTTAAAAATGTCTTTCTCAGGCAGTCATAAAAAGGATCTGAGAGAAGATGTGGACTTCTAATTATACTGCGGCTTGGGAGGGAAGAAGGGCTTCAGAAATCACACTTGCTGGTCCCCTCCTCCCAGGGATGAGCTCACCTCATAACCACAGAAGTGGGTGTAGATAGGCGTGAACAATGACAACCTACAGAAATTACTGACAATTCTAAACATGTATGAATGCAACACACTCCACTTTTGAAAGTGGGAAAAGGAATAAATATTTTCGTGTTTCTTTTCTAAAGTAGGAAACCTGAAAACTGCATGATTAATAACTTCACTTAAAATATTATTTGTCTAACAATCCTGCAAGTGGATGCATAGAAAATAGCTCATTAATCAAATAATTTTTGAAAAGGTAAAAGCAGATGCCATAGTTAACCTAAAACTTAAGTCTGCACCCCTTGGGCTTTCCCATTCCACAGCTTATATTAGATGAATTCTAAGAAGTCTAACAAACTCATTCACAAGCCACAAGCAGTTGAGCAATCAGTCAATGGGAAAGAGGCAGGAAGCACCATTTCAGCAAGCAGTCATAACTAAAGAGCAGACAAGAATCCTACAGTCACCAATACGCATCATTTATTAGTGTCACTGCTACTGCCAGTATTTATATAGCACTGCCAGACTGTTTCTAAGCATTTGTATGTGCTAATTCCATGAGTATGCCACACTTCAGCTCTCACTGGGCATCACTCTGTCACCGCCCAGCACACTCACTTCTACTCCAACACCAGTGTGTATTCCAAGGGAACAAGTTGAGCATAACTGAAATTTCATGTTTGATGTGCATGATTTCAGCACAAGAAAACACTAGGCAATCGCAGAAAACTCCTTTCAAGCTGAACCAGCTCCGTAGGGACAAACAATCCCTCAAACATGTACCAATGACCTCTGGTCCCACGCACTGTGAGACACCCTGACCCAGGCCAAGTGTCCAGGTGCTCTCCCTGACTTCAGGTAACCTGTCTTCCCCAACTTCATAGTAAGTCAAAAGCTGGGATCTTTCAAGGCGCCAGTCCACAGGCAGACAGGACTTCTTCAGATAAGGAACCATAGTTACTGTTTTATTTATGTATTTCTCACTCATTTACTTAAAACTGTGCTACAATTTTGATTCAGTTCCTGTTTTTCTTTTTAAATATAGCACTGATGGTCTTTTGTATCCTCACATCTATTTTTTTCCATAAAAGTTGTGAGCTTTACTGTATGATATTCATAGGACAGTGGTTTTTAGGACCATATATACAACACCCTAGCAACTGATCATATAATAAGGAGGGTTCACGTTTTAGGAAACAGCAAAATAATGTAACTGGCCGACCGACCGACCGACCAAACCTTCTTAACAGTGAGTTTCAACTACATGAAAAATGTACTTAGGAGAAGTTCCTTAATGATGTTATATAAGTGAAGTACTGCTGTGTCATCTGCATAGACCACTATGGTGGTATTATAAGATAGCCTCACTGTGACCACTGGAAAGGAAAAACTGAATGAACTTACTTGCCATGCCTGAAAATTAACAGACTGAAAAGAGATCCTGGCTTTGAATTTTCTTTTAAACTTTATAACATATACATAAAAATATGCAGGAGGGTTTTCTAATATAATTAGTATCATTTAAAACAATTTAAAAATGCCCATATCAAAGGATAAAGTTTTTAACTGTGTAAAACATTTACTAAAGTTGGAAAATGTTCATGAAAAGCATTCACTGGAAAAGCAAGCAATAAAGCAATATGCTCAATATTATCACAATTTTGTTTAAAAGTAACTTTAGGAAAAAGAACAGTTGAAAAACTGCTAATTAAAGAGGGGAGAATTAGAGTAATTTTTACTTTCTTTATTTTGCATTTGGAATGAAAATCCTTTCTTTACTTGTAGATTATTCACATGTAAGTCCAGCCCAGGACCAGGAACACATGAATAAGTAGGGGGGTCACATGGCCAAATCTTTGCAAGTATTTCCTATCTTACCATTCGAAGACAAATTCAGTCCCAGCTGGGATGTTTAAAGTCTATAAATTCATTATAGACTTTATAGGGGCCAAACTGCAATTTCCTTTTACTGGGTAAGACAGTACAGATTCGGTAAAATTAAGATGAAAGTTTTTGGTTTTTTTAATTATATAATTGTACTCAAGTTGTGTTAAGGCCAGAAAAAAACTTCATTCTGAATTAAAGCCTGTTCTGGAGAAAGCTCCCTTCAATAAGACGAAGATTAGACAAATGCAAGGATGGATGCATTTGGCACAGGGATAAATGTCTAATTTAGAGAGTTTTAAAGAGAAAGTAAGAAAACACAGATCAGGCCAGGCATGGTGGTGCATGCCCTGTAATCCCAGCACTCAGGAAACTGAGGCAGGATTGTCGTGGGTTCCAAACCAGCCTGGGCTACAAAGTGAGTTCAAAGCCAGCTGAACTGCACAGCGAGACCCTGCATAGCAAGAAAAAAGAACGAAATGAAAAGGATAGATTGTTTTATAACCTCCAAAAAACCTCAAATGCTTTAAAAAATTTTGCCAAAACCTCAAAACTTAATTCTGAAAATAATTCACTATCTTTGGTCACAATATACTTAGATGAACTGCACATACAAACATGACCTAAAAACTAGGTGTGGAGGGGACACAGGAATCAAGGACCAGTTTAGGACAATTTGGCCACCACACATCTAAGTTCACCCACCTGTGCATGGCTATCAGCATATTTAAATGTGTCCCTTTTCAGTTTAGCATTCCTGGCACCCATGTGCCTCCCAGGAGCTATGTGGCATGGAGAGCCAAAGGGATGCCCCTCCTCATGTGCCAGATACCAAAGGCAGTGAGCGCGTTCATGTAGAAGGTCATAAAGTTAGAGAGCATCTAATGTGT